GTTGTCCTGACACTATTTGTGGAGAGGACTATTCTTTCTCCATTGAGTTGTCTTGGCATCCTTGTTGAAAATCCATTGGCTGTAATTGTTGGAATTTATTTCTGGAATCTTGATTCTATTTCATTAATCTACATGTCTAACTTTATACCAGTACCACACTATCTTGATTACTGTAACTTCATAGTAAGTTTTGATACAGGACTGTGAGTCCTCTAACTTTATTCTTATTAAATATTGTTTTTGCAATTCTGAGTCCCTCACGTTACCATATACATTTTAGAATCAGCTTGTAAATTTCTCCAAACAAAGAAAAAAAGGCAGTTTGGGATTGGGGTAGAAATTGTGCTGAATCTGTAGATTAGTTTGAGTAGTATTGCTTGAATTTATAGATCAGTTTGAGGAGTATTGCTTACTCTTAACAATGTTGTCTTAATGCTTTCTAGTTTTCAGAGTATGAGAATAGTGCCAGGGTGGGCCACATGCAGTGGCTCATGCCTATAATCCCAGCACTTTGGGAGGGAGAGGAGGGAAGATCATGAGGTTAGAAGATGGAGAACATCCTGGCCAACATGGTGAAACCGTCTCTACTAAAAATACAAAAATTAGCTAGGCAGGGTGGCCCATGCCTGTAATCTCAGCTCCTCGGGAGCTTGAGGCAGGAGAACTGCTTGAACCAGGGAGTTGGAAATTGAGTGAGCCAAGATCATGCCACTGCACTCCACTCTGGTGACAAAGGGAGTCTGCCTCAAAAAAAAAAAAATAGTGATGGGGTGACAGACAGCTGGTTATTGCTGATGGTTAGGTGTCCAGCTTCCCTAATGCACGAGCACATGAGCTTCCTGAGAGAGACGAACCTACTAAGTAATAATTTACGTTCTCGTTAGATAGAACAAACTGGTATACAGTGAAAAGCAATTTCTTAGGCTTGATTGGTGGCTTGGAAACCCACTCTGAGGAAAGGGAGGTAGGACTTTTTTTTTTTCTTTTTTTTTTTTTTTAGAGAGAGGGAGTCTTGCTTTGTTCCCAGGCTGGAGTGCAGTGGCATGATCTCGGTTCACTGCAACATCGACCTCCCGGGTTCAAGAGATTCAACTGCCTCAGCCTCCTGAGTAGCTGGGATTACAGGTGCCCGCCACCATGCCCAGCTAATTTTTGTATTTTTAGTAGGGATGGTGTATTACCATGTTGGCCAGGCTGGTCTCGAACTCCTGGCTTCAGGTGATCTGCCCACCTTGACCTCCCAAAGTGCTGGGACCACAAATATGAGCCACTGAGCTCAGCCTTTTTTTTTTTTTTTTTTTTTAACTTTTCTTTTCTTGGTCTTGCTGTTTTGTAGCTCTGGCTCCTCCAGAGTAGGGAGGGTGAACGGATGACACCTAAATGGACAAAGGCTGGTGCTGCCTAGAGTTTTCTCTTGGCTGTGGAATGCCCTCTGTAACAGCAGATAACCAAACGTCTCTCCTTTTGGGCACTTTGACAACCCTCTGGTGGAATTCACATACTTTCTGTGCCAAAGGCAATCCTTTCTCCAGGTGACCTTTGGTGATCTTCTCTTACCTTTTATCCTCTAATTGTATATCCCTTCTTTTGGGACAGGTGGTAAAAGGGCTGTCACTCAGTGGTCAGTTCCCTCAAGCAAGGTTCTTTCAGACAGTTCATGCCTGGTTACTTCTAGCCAGAGTATACATTTGGTCCCACGAACTCACAAAATCTTGCCTTGCCAAACAGTGAAAGCCCAACATGACCAGCTCTGACTCCTCTTTCCTTATCCTGTTCTCATGGTAGCCCTAGCCAGTCTCCTGCCCTTAGATTTCTTCAGCTAAGGAGCAAGATCCTACCCTAAGACTTGTGGAACACTTAGGTTCTCCCAGGACTCCCAGGCTCTGTTCTGATATAGCAAGTAGCCCAAGGCAGGTCTAAGTTTCTGGAGCTCGGCCCACACTCATTTAGGGAGGGAGATGCTAGTTTCTCCTGTTGCAGTTAGTTCCAACATCTATCAAGATTCTCTTGCAACTCTACATATTTGGCTTGGGGGAGGCTGTGGGAGAGAAGGAAAAGGCACAGAGCTTCTGCTAGTCCATATGACCTTGTGTGAATCAGAAAAAGGACCTTGCTGCTCAAGACACTTTGCTGCTATCTGCTGGAAAACTGTCATAATACTACATACATCTCTAATGACTGTGGGATGAATGGTGCCCCCAGAGTTGTGCGATATTTTTAGCCCACCTATGAGGAGTGTTCCCAAGAAGAAAAATCTTGACACCTTCTGCTCTATGAATTCTCTTCAATGACTCCTCTTCTAAAATTCTTTTCTCGTGTATGGAGCGCTTAATAATAAGTATTTTATCTTTTTGTAAATCCTGCAAAGATATATCCAGTGCCTTTTCTTCTAATTTGGGAGTATTTATTACTTACTGTCTTCAGATTTGTTGCCTTAGATGAAATTCTAAGAAAATCCTATTTTACTTCTTTGTTAGCCACTTGAATAAATGAAAAAATGAATGACCGGAGGCCATGTAAAAATCTAGTTACTTACAGTCATTTATTCCAGTTCATCAGAGTATTTCTTAGAGTGCTTGCCCCCTATCAGTAGTATTACTTTCCTATGTCTGCCAAAACAAATTACCATAAACTGGGTGGCTTAAAGCGATAGAAATTTATTTTCTCAACATTTTGGAGGCCAGAAATCCAAAATCAAGGTATTGGTGGGGTTGGCTCCTTCTAGAGGCTGTAAGGGAGAATTTGTTCCATGCATTTCTCCTATCTTCCTTTTTTTTTGAGATGGAGTCTCACTCTGTCTCTCAGGCTAGAGTGCAGTGCCATGATCTTGGCTCTCTGGAACCTCTGCCTCCTAAACAATTCTCCTGCCTCAGCACCTGAGTAGCTGGGATTACAGGCACCCGCCACCATGCCCGGCTAATTTTTGTATTTTATTAGAGACAGGGTTTCATCATGTTGGCCAGGCTGAAACCCCTGACCTCAGGTCTTGAACCCCTGACCTGAGGTGATTCACCCACCTCAGCCTTCCAAAGTGTTGGGATTATAGGCGTGAGCCACTGCGCAAAGTGCATTTCTCCTACCTTCTGACATTCCTTGGCTTGTAGCTGCATAACTCCAATCTCTTGCCTTCATCTTTCACATGGCTTTTCCCCTAAGTCTCTCTTGTGTTTCAAATCTTCCTCTCTTTTCTCTTATAAGGACACAGTCATTGTCCTTATAAGGATATACCCCACCCTAAATAAAGGATGATCTCATTCTGAGATTTTCAAATACATCTGTGAAGGCCTTATTTTCAATAAGGTGATATTCACAGGTACGGGGAGTTAGGACTTGGACACATCTTTTTGGCAGCCACCATTCAACCAGTAAAAATTACTCATACTGTGGTCCACACTTGTGATCTACAAATGAATGATTTTTTTCCATAGCTGCTTTCCAGCAGACAGTAGAATTCTACTTGGCTAGTGCAGGTATGGCTTTAACTTTCCACTAATGTCACCATGAGTCATGAGGCACACACCCATCTCTGCAGCAAACATGAATGTTAGGTGTCTGGACCTTGCATGATAACAATCTAAGGAAAAGCACAAATAGGAAATAATCTTTTCCTAATAATTTGAGAGGTACAGTCATCAAATAAAATGAGATGTAAAAAAATGACAGTATCTTTAAAAATACAGAAAAACAAGTCACATCAAGCAAGTTAGAAGATTCCTTCCTCATTAGCTCAACAGTTTTCCCTGAATTAAAGTTTTTTAGAGTGTTCGAATTTCTCAAAAGCCTGTACTACAAAAATGAAACAAAAAATTATTTTTCTTCAGCAGTTACATATAACTATAACTTCTAAATTGGAATGAACTCACCAAAATACACTTTGTTTTTCACATAAAGTGTCTTTTGGAGTGCATGAAGGCCTTGTGTCTTCTCACTGAATTGTGATTCTAAGTGCCTGGTTGGCTTGCAGCTTATCATGCTGAGGATTTGAGCACCAGCTGCTCACGCTGTTCATTCAGGTCTGAATAGAGGGGTCTCACCATCTAATACGATTCTTCTATGAGTAACAATCATTGCTTCTTATCTATTTCTTTTTCTTTCTGGATTAAACTCTATTTCTAAAGAATATTGTTTAAATGAAAAATTTAATCAAACATACACAAGAATAGACTCTCACAAAGTCGTCACCAAGATTCTGGAATTATCAATACTTTTCCATTCCTAATCTATTCTTTCTTGCTTAAAATTTTTTTGCATTTATAATGCTTTTATTAAGTATGAATTCTCTGATGTTAAGAAATGAATAGACATCTTAATGACTTTTTCACATTCTTTATATTTGTATAATCTTTCTCAAGTAAAAATGCTTTCCTGGGCAATAATATGTGAATATTGGTTAAGTTTTGTCACATTTTTTGCACATGAAGTTTTCTACAGTATAAATCATCTTACCTACAATCAAGTGTAACACCATTGGAAGGCTTTGTCAAATTCTTCATGTTTTTAGAGTTTCTCAACAGGATGGTTTCTTTCAGGTTTAGAAAAGTTTTAGGTGTTGTCAAAATCATTGTCACATCTTTCAGGTTTGTAGAGTTTCTTACCAGTATGAATTTTCTTATGTCTAGTAAGGTGTGAGGACTGGTTAAATGCTTTGCCACATTCTTCAGCTTTTTTTTTTTTTTTTTTTTTTTTTGAGATGGAGTCTCACTCTGTGGCCCATGATGGAGTGCAGTGGTGTGATCTCAGCTCACCGCAGCCTCTGTCTCCTAGGTTCAAGCAATTCTCCTGCTTCAGCCTCCTGAGTAGTGGGATTACGGGCACATGCCACTATGCCTGGCTAATTTTTGTATTTTTAGTAGAGATGGAGTTTCACTGTGTTGGTCAGGCTGGTCTCAAACTCCTGACCTCGTGATCCACCTGCCTCTGCCTCCACCTCCTGAAGTGCTGGGATTACAGGTGTGAGCCACAGCACCCAGCCACATTATTCACATTTGTAGGGTTTCTCTCTAGCTTGAATTCTCATGATTACCAAGAGTTGCAGGCCAGTTAAAAACACTGCCACATTGATCACATTTGTAGGATTTCTTTCCAGGATGAATTGCCTTATGGTTAGTAAGGATTAAAAATAAAGTAAAGCCTTTGTCACATTCTTCACATTTGTAGGTATTCTCTCTAGTATGAATTCTCTTATGTTGAATAAGGCTGGAGCATCCATTAAAAGCTTTGCCACATTCTTCACATTTGTAGGCTTTCTCTCCCATATGAATTCTCGTATGTTCAGTAAGGTTTGAGGACTGTATAAAAGCTTTGCTGCATTCTTCACATTTGTAGGATTTCTCTCCAGTATGAATTTTCTCATGTCTAGTAAGGTTTGTAAACTGGTTAAAAGCTTTGCCACATTCTTCACATTTGTAGAGTTTCTCTCCAGTATGAATTTTCTTATGTTTAGTAAGGTTTGAAAACTGGTTAAAATCTTTGCCACATTTTTCACATTTGAAGGGTTTCTCTCCAGTATGAATTTTCTCATGGTTAGTAAGGGTTGCAAACCAGTTAAAGGCTTTGTGATATTCATCACATTTGTAAGGTTTGTCTCCAGAATGGATTATCCTATGTTTACTAAGGATTGAGAATAAACTAAAGCATTTGCCACATTGTTCACATTTGTAGGGTTTCTCTTCAATATGAATTTTCTTATGTCTCATAAGTGCTGAGGATTGGTTAAAGGCTTTGCTGCATTCTTCACTTTTGTAGGATTTCTCCCCCATATGAATTAGATTATGTTTTATAAGCTCTGAGAACCAGTTAGAAACTTAGCCACATTCCTCTCATTTGTAGGAATTCTCTCTAGTGTGAATTCTTATATGTTGTGTTAGATGTGAAAGCATGCAGAATGATTTGCCACATTCTTTACAGCTGAAAAATTTCTTTCCAGTATTTCTTATGACTATTTGAAAATTTATGAAAGAATTTCATGTATTTATCACATTGAAATATTTTCCTCTGGGTAGTTGTCAAACATTGATTAAGTTCATTATAATCTCCTTTGTACAACTTACACTTATCCACACTTTTACAGCTTATTCTTAATGATAAATTCTCATGTCCACATTTTCTGTATCCTCTCAGTATCACTTTTTGGAAAGAATCTTTTATGCTATGTTCTGGCCAAAGGTCTTCAGCGAAATGGGAACATATAACCAGGTGGTTGGCTACCAACTCTTGTCTCTTCATATTTCAAAGCTCTTTTCCTTGCTCTAAACAGGTTATCAGGTGAGGCTTAGAGACAGCAATACCCAGGAAGCCCAGGTTTCTGTAGTTCTCAAACATCACTTTCCTATATAAATTCTATTGTGCAGTGTCCAGGCATTGCTACTCCTCCAGAGAGAATTCTATGGCAACATCCTTAAATTTCAATGGTTCCAGTAATGCCAATGTTTTTGGCCCAAGAAGAATGTTTTGTCAGATATCCAGTAAGTAAAACAGCCTGTGTTTTCCCCAGTTTTTCTGGCAATTTCTAGGCTTCCAGGTGGGCCTGGCATCATAGCTGTGCATCTCCCAAGTCTCTAACTCCTGACCTCAGGTGATTGGTCCACCTCAGCCTCCCAAAGTGCTGCAGGTAATCAGGCCACAGACGCTGGGCCTCTAGGAACAGAAGAACCCAGAACAGTGAAGACGAGACCTGGAGCTTCCGCTGCAGTGAGAGACAAAGGCTCCACCCTGAAATATTTTATTTTATTTTTTTATCAGACAGAGTCTTTCTCTGTCACCCAGGCTAGAGTGCACTGGTATGATCTCAGCTCACTACAACATCTACCTCCCTGGTTCAAACGATTCTCCTGCTTCAGCCTCCTGAGTAACTGGGACTGCAGGTGCATGCCACCACGCCTGGCTAATTTTTAGTATTTTTAGTAGAGATGGGGTTTCACCATGTTGGCCAGGCTGGTCTCGAACTCCTGACCTCATGATCCGCCCACCTCAGCCTCCCAAAGTGCTAGGATTACATGCATAAGCCACCATGTCTGGCCTACTGAAATATTTTAAAGAAAATCTTAGACATCATACTGTTGAATTCCTACATCCTTTAGTATGCATTTCTAAAAATTGTAGACATTTTCTAATCATAGGTAATACTGGTATCATACCCAATTCTTCAGTATCATTTAATATCCAGACTATATTCAAATTTCTTTGATTGTCTCAAAAGTGTATTTTTGTGTTTTCTCGTTTGTTTAAATAAGGATCAAAATAAGATCAACATATTAAATTAGATTGCTAAGTCTTTTCAATCTTCTTTAACATTCCCATTCCAAAAAGGAGAAATAGGAAAGAAGAAAGGGATGATGGAGTCCCAAGAAAGTCTCAAATTTATCAAGGCAAAATTTATAAGATGTTACGGCTTGATGAGGTTCTTTGGCTCAATGCTCTGCCTTCTGGGACCCACTGGGTGGCAGTCCTGCCTGTGTGGCTCTGTCTGATGGGGGCGACACACCCACAGCTCTGTGAGCCTGGAGTTGTATCTCAGTGGCTCTGCTGAATAGTGCTGTGCCTCTGCTGCTACAGGTGGCCCTGCACTCATGGCTTGATTGGGCCAGCTCTTTGAAACTGAGGTAGAGGCAGCCCTGTTCCCCAAATTATATACTCTAGTCCTATGGTAGGAGTGGCAGCCTGATGATCTCTGAATCATTTTTGGGTTCTTTCTTCTATTGTTTTGAAGAACAGTGCATGTTCACAGATCTATGATCTGTAGGATCTAAGAAGTCTGACAGTCTCCCTCTGTTTAGTTCCAGCTGGCAGTGTTTCTGCTGCTATAGTCTTATCTTTATTCCTGGCTTCTGTTGAGATGGCTGATTTGGTTCATAGTTCACACCCATGCTGATCTTTTTATCAAATTGTTGGTCTGACATAGACTTTGTGTTCTTTTTTGCACATACCTTCTCATTTTTAAAATGATATGAACAAGGTTAGAATTTTCCAAATCTTTATGTTCTGATTCCTTTTTGCTTAACAATTCCATTTTCCATTTTCAATTCATTTCTTCTTCTTGTATTTTATTATAAGCAGTAAGAAGGAACCAAGCTGCTCCTTTAACACTTTGCTTAGAAATCTCCTCAGCTAAATGTCCAATTTCTTTTTTTTCTTGGAAAGGAGTCTCACTCTGTTGCCCAAGCTGAAGTACAGTGGTGCAATCTCGGCTCACTGCAACCTCTGCCTCCCGGTTGAAGCAATTCTCCCACCTCAGCCTCCCAAGTAGCTGGGATTACACGTGCCCACCATCATACCCAGCACATTTTTCTATTTTTAGTAGAGACAGAGTTTCGCCATGTTGGCCAGGCTGGTCTCTAACTCCTGACCTCAGGTGATTGGTCCACCTCGGCCTCCCAAAGTGCTGGGATTACAGGCATGAGCCACTGTGCCTGGTACATTACATTTCATTGCTCATACATTACAAAACACTAGAACATGAACACTAGTTCTAGTCTTTTACAAAACACTAGAACATAAACACTATTCAGCCAAATTCTTTGCCACTTTGTGATGAGGATAGCCTCCAGGAAGAAATAGAAACTCAGAACAGACTAATACGCAGCAAGATAGAATCAGTTTCTTTAAAAAAAAGCTGGCCAGGTGTGGTGGCTCATGCCTGTAATCCAAGCACTTTGGAGGCCAAGGCAGGTGGATCACTTGAAGTCCGAAGTTCAAGACCAGACTGACCAACATGATGAAACCCCATCTTAAAAAACAAAACAAAACAAAAAAAAACGAACATAAAAAGCCCAGGGCCAGATGGATTCACAGCTGAATTCTATCAGACATTCATGGAAGAAATGATGCCAATCCTACTAAAACTATTCCGTAACATAGAGAAAGAGGGAATCCTCCCTAAATCATTCTATGAAGACAGTATCATCCTAATATCCAAACAGAATATAACAAAAAAAAGAAAATTACGAACTAATATTCCTGATGAATATAGATTCAAAAACCTCAACAAAATACTAGGTAACTGAATCCAACAGCATATCAAAAAGATAATATACCATGATCAAGTGGATTACATACCAGGGATGCAGGGATGGTTTAACATACACGAGCCAATAAATGTGACACCCTACATAAGCAGAATTAAAAATAAAAATCAGGCTGGGCGTGGTGGCTCATGTCTGTTATCCCAGCACTTTGGGAGGCTGAGATGGGTGGATCACCTGAGGTCAGGAATTCGAGACAGTCTGGCCAACATGGGGAAACCCCGTCTCTACTGAAAATACAAAAATTAGCTGGGTGTGGTGGCGGGTGCCTGTAATCTCAGCTATTCAGGAGGCTGAGGCAGGAGAATCACTTGAACCTGGGAGGCAGAGGTTGCAGTGAGCTAAGACCACACCACTGCACTCCAGCCTGGGTGACACAGTTAGACTCTGTCTCAAACAAACAAACAAAACAAACAAACAAACAAACAAAAAACATATGATCAACGCAATAGATGCAGAAAAAGCATTTGAAAAAATCCAGCATCCCTTTTTAATAAAAATCCTCATCAAAATCGGCATGGAAGGGACATACCTCAAGGTAATAAAAGGCATCTATGACAAACGTACAGCTAACATCACTATACTGAATGGGTAATCATTGAAAGAATTATTATTTGTAACTGAGAACTGTAACAACGCAAGGATGCCCACTTTCACCACTTCTATTCAACATAGTATTGGAAGTCCTAGCCAGAGCAATTAGACAAGAGAAATAAAAAGCATCCAAATTGGAAAAGAGGAAGTCAAACTGTTGCTGTTCACCAGTGATATGACTGTATACCTAGAAAACTCTCAAGACGCATCCAAAAAGCTCGTAAATCTGATAGATGAATTCGGTAAAGTGTCAGGATACCAAGTCAATGTACATAAAACAGTAGCTCTGCTATACACTAACAACAACCAAACTGAGAATCAAATCAAGAACTTAATCCTTTTTACAACAGCTGCAAAAAGAAAATATATAAATAAAATACTTAGGCCTGGCCAACATGATGAAACCCTGCCTCTACTAAAAAAATAATAATAATAATAATAATAATAATAATAATAATTAGCTGGGCATGCTGGTGGTGGTTGCCTGTAATCCCAGCTACTCAGGAGGCTGAAGCAGGATATCACTTGAACCTGGGAGGCGGAAGTTGCAGTGAGCCAAGATGGCACCACTGCACTCCAGCCTGGGCGACAGAGTGAGACTCTATATAAAAACAAAGCAGAACATAGCAAAAACAAATAAACCTTCAGAAAATATTTAGCCAAAGAGGTAAAATATCTCTACAAGAAAAAGTACAAAACACTGCTGAAAGAACTCATAGGGCAGGGTGTGGTGGCTCATTCCTGTAATCCCAGTACTTTGGGAGGCCGAGGAGGGCAGATTATGAGGTCAGGAGTTCGAGACCAGTCTGGCCAACATGGTGAAACCCCATTTCTACTAAAAATCCAAAAATTAGCCAGATGTGGGTGTACACACCTGTAATCCCAGCTACTTGGGAGGCTGAGGCAGGAGAATAGCTTAAACCCAGGTGGAGGTTGCAGTGAGCCAAGATTGCGCCATTGCACTACAGCCTGGGCAACAAGAGCAAAATGTTGTTTCAAAAAAAAAAAGAAGAAGAAGAGAAAATTCTCCAGACGTGGTGGCTCAAGCCTTTAATCCCAGCACTTTGGGAGGCCGAGGTCGGTGGATCAACTGAGGTCAGGAGTTTGAGACCAGCCTGGCCAACATGGTGAAACCCTGTCTCTACTAAAAAAAAAAAAATACAAAGTTAGCTAGGCGTGCTGGTGGGCGCCTGTAATTCTAGCTACTTGGGAGGTTGAGGCAGGATAATTGCTT